ACATAAATATTTCAAAAGCCCAATCTAGAAAATAGAATTTGTTTTTATTTTTCTGAGAGCAATATTAATGATTTAATATTATTAAAAAATTTATAATACCATAGCTCATATAAACCTATAAGTAAACCTGCACTATCCTTTTCAGTCTGATTCTTACCATTCATTCATTTAACAAATATTTCTTGTGCCTACTATGTGCCCATCATTGTCCCAGCTGCTTGCAGATAAATTAGACAACAAAACAAATGTTCTTTTGCTGTGATTCTAAAATCACAGGAATTTCTAATTGGTGTAAAAAGACAATCATCAAGTAAATGTACATCAGATGGTGGCAGGTGTTATAAAGAAAAATAAAATGGGGTAACAGAAGACAAGGATTGCTGAGAACTGGGGTTGGAGAAGGGTAGTATATTAAATAGGGTTGTCAGAGGACACCTTGCTGATGATGAGATGACATCTACACAAAAACCAGAGGAAGAGAAGTAAAGGGCTCTGCAGCTTTCCAGGTAGCAGGCACAGCAAGATCTTGAGATAGAATAGACTCAGCATGTGCAAAAAGTAGGAAGGTCTGTGAGACTGCAAAGCATTAAAAAAAAAATTTTGCTTTATTCAATAAGCATTTATTGAATGATTACACACTAAAAATTATGCTGAGTGTTTTGTGATATTAAGATGACCCAAATACAGTTTCTGGCCTCAGGCCTCGATGAAATTACAATGCAGAGTGATAAGTGTTATAAAACATTTGAGAAGGGTCTCAAAGAGGGACCCATGGCATGTTCTACTTCAGGAAGATGAACCAAGAGCCCAAAAAGTATAGAGAGCCAAAATCCCAACTACAAAGAGGATTTGAAGAAATATGCAGAGACTCTAGGCTCGCTCGGCAGTCATTCAACTCTTTTCGCCTCTTACTTTCTTCTAGAATTCAGGCTAAAATCCTTGATCTCTCAAGTGTGTGCAAGGGAGGTCTGTTGCAGTCTTCCGAAACAATGTAGGTGGAAAGAAGGCTCAAAATGGGGACGTGTCCTCCCTCTTTTGAGAGCCAGGACACTGCTGCACAGCTCTGAACAAATCAACAACCCCCAGGGCTTTTAGCTGACCGAACCCCAGTCCCTCCTTCCAGGCCCTACAGCCTCCCAGCCTTCCTCATCATCTTCAACCTTAACTATGTCTTCTAGTCTTCCTCTGAAACTTGCATATATCTTAGTGACAGTCCTCTACTCAGAAACCTATGATTACTTCTACAGAAGAAAGAAAATGACTTAATAAGAAACAAGGCCACTGACAATTTGGTTTCAAGTTCTTTTTTTTGCCTCAATTCCCATCACTCTCACAGGCACATCATTACTCCACACAATGGACCCTTCAACAGTTTTTCAAATGGTCTATACACATCCCCACCTCCAAGCACTGCTAGTGCTGTCTCTTCTTTCCGGAATTCTTTCACCTTTACCAATAGCTAAATTCCTACATATAGTTCAAGACTCCATTCAAATTTCTTCTCATCCATGAAGGCTTAAGTCAAATGCTCTCTCGCATTCAGCTGGTCAGAAGTCATGACTCCTTCCTCTGTAGTACCACCAGACTTAGTTTACACCCCAAGTAGGGCAGTGAACACAATCCCGCCTATTCTATAGTTACATAGTACGTATGCGCATCTTCTCAACCATATTTCAATTCCGTGGCAGCGAAGTCAGTGTACAATTCATGTTTATTCCTATGCATAATATGCAAAGTAACTTGCACACAACAGTCATTCAATTAATGTATTCTGAATTTTCACCAATAGGTTACAATAAGTCCTCACCTTATGAGGGAGTGGGGGGAAAGAAGTATTCCTGGATTTAAAAGTACAGCAGCATCAAAAAGTGAATTGTCCAGGCATTACTACTGAACTTTACCTATTCAAATAAGTTCTAAATTACTGCACATATCATTGAATGAGAAGATAAAGACAACAAAAAAACTATGAGTGCTTATTGGGCAGCAAAATAAAATTAAAGAGGAATGAGGAAAGGCAAAGCATAAAGCAACCTATATTAGCAAGCATTACCAAGGGAGACTAAAACAATTCCTTTAATGAATATTTACCAAGTGCCTGGTATAAGCCAGATACTATATCGATTTGCTGTGAAAACAGTGAGAAAAGACTGAACTTTTATATGCAATATTTTTAAGTGCAAAGTTTTGGCCTATATATTATTACTTCCTAAAGTATGACCAAAAGAGCAGCTTAAGGGCTAAAAGAGACTGACTATTGATACCCAATTCTGAATCGAAATCTAGAAAACTATCTTGCCTAAATTGTGATTATGTAGGAACTCTCCCCCACGACTGTTTCTGAATGTTAAAAGGGCTTCCTTTATTTTCAGTGACTATAAACTGCTCAGATAGAAAATTTGAGTTCCAGATACTTGAATACATTCCCTGCTCTGAGATAAGTTCTATCCATGCACAGGTTGTTTTAGTAATTAAGGTACCAACAACTCTGCCATCATGAATGAAAAGGAGGGAATTTATTAAAATGATGCTATATAGAGGATGTTGTATGGGAGATAGTGGAGAGTTGTTGTTTTGTCTTCTGAGGTCAAAATAACAGAAACAAAATGG